ATGGCACCACATCACAAAACTGTTTCCTCCAGGTGATTTATATTGTAATGTAAAGACCCTACGATGATACGGCGAACACAGAAAACAAAAAAACCCAACAATAAGATGACCCTCGAGTGTTACTCCAAACACTGAAAACCACTGGATTCCACTTGGCAACAACAGGAAGGAAATTTATTTTATGCAAAGGACGTTGAAGATGGAGCTGCCAGGCAGGTCTAACCACCGTGCTGCCCTGACTAATGGATATCTAATAAAATAAAGATAACTGAGTCAGAATAGTCAACTCTTCTTACATGTTCTTATGTAACGACACCCTTCATTGGTTAGATCCCACCCATCGAAGCTCCTTTACTTTTATCTTATCTGATCACATTTGTTCTTTACTACAACATAGATGGATATAGATTTTATTAATCTCACACTTGTTAGATGCACTGTATTAGACATACAGTAGAAAACAATAAATGAATGAGGAAAAAGTAAAACTGCCAAAAATGTGCTAAAATACACAAAAAATACACAGAAATGTCACAAAGACTTCATTTTGCATCAAGGGCATTTTGACCCATATTTATTTTTTTAGCTGTTTCAACACTGATTTATCTTCTGTGCATATTGTACAGTCTGGCTGCTGTTGGGATGAAGGTTTTTGGCCACAAACATAAACACATCTGCACAAATGCACACAGTGTGAAAACCAGCCTGACTGTCACTCTTGACTCAGATGAAGCAAGTTCAGTGGAGGCTGCTGAGATGCAGAGGACAACGAGATTTTTAAATTTAAGTTTTTCTGGAAATGAACTGATGAATTTTGTTTGTCCAAGTCTTATAAAAAGAACTAATCTACTTATAACGTGTGCCTGTATCTGGAACAGACCAACTATGGCGTTTGTTTACTTCTCTATAGTTTCAGGGGAGAGCGTAGTAGAGAGTGTCCTGAATAGACCATTCAGGCTGCTGTTGCCATGGATTCACAGGGCGAGGAAACCCAAGACAGAGACACCATGTGTGTTACGATGAAAGAGTGGCTTTGGGACTATCAGCACGTCACACTGGCCTGCTGACACTGAAAGTATAGCTGCAGATTTCATGCAAAATGAGGGGCAGCACTGGTAGTTATGCCACGCTTGCCCTGGTCTTTCATTCTGATTGTCTTATAACAGAAGCGTCTTCCATGTAGCTCAGTGAAAGGAGCAGCCATGCTTGCACTCAGGGATATGTGTAAGTGGAAGCAACTTACAAAAAGGTGACTGTCTCCTTTACCCATTTCTTGACCGATAGTACACCCCAGTGCTTTGGCAAGCATTTAGCCACAGATGGGCGCTCCATGTCTTCCTGTGGCTGGGAGGATCCCATCAGGAATGACTGAGAGGGACTGACACTGGGATCCGGAACTGACATTGAAAAGCTCCTCTTCTGTTTCTTTCCCCTTTTCCTTCATCTGCCTGTGTCATTAAAACAGCCAGCGGTTAAGGGACACATGCCACGCTGTTTTTGTGTTTATAATTTAGCCGTTTCTAGTTTATTCCACACACACACACACACACGCTAAATAATGCACGACCATCTTGACCCTTTACATTTCTGCTCATGCACCTCAGTCACATGTACATTGTAGCCTAACCTTTGAACAACAGTTCAAGGGGAAGTTACTAATTGACTGTGTGAGGGCCTTTGCTCCTTTCAAACAGGCAGCAGTATAGTGTGTCACAAGCCACAGATGACAGTCTAAATCAGCACCAGCATTGTCACAACGTTTTTGCATGAGGTGAAAAATAACGAGCCTTTTATTGACTATTTTTGAGATAATTGAATTACAATAACATGTTTTTCTGCATTTCAATAAAACCTTAAAG